GGGCTCCAGGCAGTATCCTCATCACCTTGCAAGTACCTGGCATGTTTTTTTGTTGTTATTAGTTGCCATGGAGTTTATTCCGACTCATGGCAACCCCATGCATATCAGAGTAGAAATGTGTTCCATAGGGTTTTCAAGGCACTTGATACATATTTGTTGGAATAATTGATCCATTTGTCTTATCAAGGGTTGATGAATGATTGAATGAACGGTTACATGTAGACAAAGGAAAGAAATCTTTTTTTCTCAATAGCTAATTGATTTTTAGCTTCTGCAAACTATAAAGAATGTTCAACAATCAAAGTATGTATACAGGAAAGCAAAAAGGGATCACAATATCTTTCATCATTTTTCTCCATACAGTTTCATAGAATAATCTTTGGATCTCGGCTCCTCAACACTGACTGAGCATATATCGTTAAAGTTTTCCCTCTGTCTTATCATTAAGCACCACAACATGACTAACTAATGAAGACACATTTGCTAACATTTCCTAGTAAGAGGCTGGGAGATGAGTATCTAAAATATGGATTGCTTTTTGCTTACTATCTGGGACATCTTTTGGATTGTCTGCCAAGCCCAGAAGCCAAACCTCTTCTTGGGAAGCTTCCTGCCAGATCCCCATGGGAGGCCTTAGGCAGCCATGCTTGGACAGGGAATCCAATCTCCGCTATTGGCCAAGAGCAGTCATCTGACTCTAGCTTGGCAAAGCAGAATCTTTTTCCAGGGAATGTGGAAGTGTGACTGAGGGCCAGCTAGTCAGTCTCTGTGGGTGGCTGGAATGGTAGAAGGAGCTAAGGGTTACTCATGGTTTCTTCCACATGAGAGCTGGGCTGCAGAGAAAGACAGAATGTGGCTAAAACAGAAATGCAGAGACAAAAGGGAGATGGAGACCTGGTGGCTTTTCAGGTCCAGATTGCAGTCCATTCCCCAGAACCAGCTGGAACGGCCCTGAGTGCTACGAGACACCCCTGTATCCTTATAATAAAAACTCCTCCTTTTTCTTCTTTTAAACTAGTTTGAGTTGGGATTCTCTTGCTTGTAACTTAATATATTTATTCTAATTTCCTGAGAATATGAAAGTCCTTTGCAGATTTATAGACACACACACACTCACTGGTCTAAACATAAAACTATTTCTTTTTGTGTAAATTCCCACAGAAACTCTGCGGAAGGCAAGTAATCTCATGAACTCTGAATAAATCCAGCCTATAACTGATTTGTGTATTTCTGTAACTCAAAGCCAAGTTAACTCAGTAGTTTTCCTGAACAACAAACAAATCATAAACATTTTTTTAATGGGGGTGGGGTGGATAACGCATCATCAAGCCAGTCCACTTCACTGCGTTCCTGACTCAGAGAAGGCACAACATAAAATCTGGCATACAGCAGGTACTCGATAAATGTTAAATATTGTTATTGCGAGGATTATTATTAGCACTCCTTTGCTCCCGACCCACTGCAGGGCTGGCGAGCACCGTGAGTATTGATTTGGGAGTTAGAAATTAATTTAAGCGAGTAGGCGAATTCTCAAATATGGAACCCATAAATAATGAGAACTAACTTACTACAAAGTGATGGTGAAGATGTAGAAAAAGATCACTCTCAGAGGGGACTGGTGGGGGTGTGACCTGTTTCAGCCTTTCCGGAGGGAGTTTTGGCAATGTGAATGTCTGTAGAATATCCATCCATTCTCTGCAGGGTGACCAGAGAACTTCAGTGGGACTGTCTCTGTCCATTTCATCCCCGACTTAACCAGACTTAACCTGTATTACATTAAGTCGTCTTCCTAAAACTATGTTTAATGAAATGGTTCTACTATTTAAGAAACAAACAATGTTTAGATACTAAGGAATATTATGCAGCTGTTTCAAATCATGTTATAGAAAATATACACAGACCAAAAATGGTTGTTAACTCCAAGTATCTGGAAACCACCAGTGGAGGGTGAGTCTTCAGTACACACTAATTAAAGGCACAGATTTTTTTGCCAGACATAAGGATTATTGTCCCTGGTAAACTTTTAATAATGACGCAACCTTCTTTTAATTTCATCTGTACAATGCAATAATGATAACATATCCCTCTTAGGATGGTGATGAAAGTTAACTGAGATAATGCATGGAAAAGTATTTACCTCAATGCTTGGTATAGACTACTCCATCATGGAAGCTCTTTTAGTATACATCAACACTAAGGCTTAGAATTTCACAATTAGCCACTAATTATCCCTCACTTCCCCATTCATCCAACACTTGAAACCATCATCAGCTCATATCTCCTGGAAGGCATCCTTAAACATAAGTTATTTTACATAGTCAAAAATTACTTCTCTCACCCAAATTCCAACTCTAGTATGCTGGGTTTTCTTAAAGCAAAGCATATCCTTCTATCTAAACAAACCTTACGAAGTCCATATAAAGGGCTCCAGTCTTTGGACTGTACAGTTCTTCTGCAGCTAAGGAGGCAAGCACCTCATTTCTTAAGCAACTGCATAGCCTCGCTAACAATCCCAACAGGCCTGCACTCCCCACAACCACGGGACTACTCAAAGGTAGCTTGGAGCATCAGAGAACGTTACAGAAGCCTTTTATGGAGGAAAATATGGCTGTCATGTTTTTATGTCTTTGAGAAATGATGACAATTTAGGTTTCATTTCTATAATGATTTGATCACTTTAAAACACAGACATAAAATGGTTCATTTATATAACCAGTTCCCAAGACTCTTGGCATTTTAATATGTGGTTTATGAAAACATACCTTTTGAAAGAAAATACTAACATCTACCGAGATGAAAAGGATGGATGAATCTCATAAAACTTAACTGCACTTCAGTTGTGACTTGAGAAAGCTGCAAGATCACCCACTTGGGAAACTCAGCCCACAGATCCACTGATATGTTTCTAGGTCCTGCCTGGTACAGTCCCCAGCCCCCCGCTGCCATCAGAGCCCTTACTTGCCGGTTCCAGGGGTAATTATCTTAATATCAGAGCTTATATGTGTCTCTCCATCACAATCTGTCCTTCCAACCTCATGGAAATCTCAGACATTCAGAGAATTGGAAAGCACTTTCTCTCCACCAAAAGCCTGTCAATCCCAGGCCTGGTAGTCTGGGAATGAAATGGTTTGGCCTACTCCAGGCCTATGGCCTGCAACTGGTTGATGATTGCTCTACAGAATGGAGGGACTGCCACCCCTGGTCTATTTCAGAAAGTTTCTAAAGAGAAAACATCTGCTAAGGGCATTCAAATTCACTCCTGCTGAGCAGTTTTAAGGTGTTAACCAAGAAAGCAGAGTGAGCAAGAATTTCGGTGGAGATGGCCAACTATAGAAGCTTCCTGCCACCCATCTCTCAAGGGCGCCTGAAACTTCCATGTGAATTTGGCATTGAATACATTAAAGAAAATATTTTAAAGGTTCCCTGACAGGAAGAGAAAAGGTATGAAGACACTACTAGGTACAATGGCTAGTGTTACTGAAGAACTAAATTTTAAATTTTATTTAACCTTAATTAATTTCAATTTGAATAGCTACATGTGGCTACTGTATTGGACAGCACAGTCCAAGGGGACCCTGAATGTGTCTCAGCTCTACTGGTTCAGAATGGGTTAAGAGGGATGTTCTGGAAGCAAAGAGGCAAAGTGCTGCAGATGAGTTCTTACTGTTGATATGAACTATTTGACATAGCTGGTTCTGCAAAATGGAGCCTTGTTAACAATTCAGATGCTCTGAGCAGCTAGCAGGAAAACAATGATCAGTGTAACTGAAAATGTGTCAAATGTCTTCAGCCAAATGTGCTTTGAAGACACAACTTGTCATGATCATTGGTAATTTGCTCTGAATAATGCAAGTCCCAATTGCTAGTCGCGGCCTTCATAAATGCCATTTCGTAACAATAATGAAAAGAAATGAAGAGAATGCAGGGATATGAGAAATTCTGCCCAGTTTTGCTGTATTACGAATCAGAACAATGTTTTATTTCACCTTCATATCCTTGGTACCTACTCCAGTGCTTTAAATATATATTCAGTGAATTAATTAATAATTTAATGATACAACAGCATATTCCAAATACATGTATCTAATAAACTGCAAACTGTAGCTAATCAATCATACATGAGGAGTATAAGGGCTGTAAGACATAATTTACAGGCTACAAAAATTAGCAATTCATCTTTATTTCAATAAAATTATTTTAAAAAAATGAAAAACTTCTTAGGTATATATCATGTTTGCATGCCAAGCTATTAAACTGTTCTTAATTTGAACTGGAAGACTACATATGTCAGTGGTCTAATTCCAGAAATGTGTATAATCTCCAAATGTATGCCATAAATGACAGGCTTTACCAAAAAAAAAAACAAAAACAAACTCAGATTATTTAAATTTTGTATATCAGATGTTAATATACTTTATATCTGAATTTAACTAAGAAACGCTTTGCAGTGAATTATATTTAGCTAACTGTATATGTGAATGACTTAATAGCTAACAATGATTTATTATATTCTGAATTGAGCTTGCAAAAATAAACATCATCTACAGTTTCAGCTTTACATTTGCAATGCAGCAATGCTAAAACCTAGGCATTGTATCAATCTAAAAGAAAACAGACTAGTCTGGTAAATTAAACTGTCTGGAGATAAAACAACAACAACAACACCAAAAAAAAAACCTAGTGATATACAGGTAGTCCCTGACTTACGATGGGATTCCATTCCAACGATTCTGTCATAAGTCAGTTCTGGTGTAAGTCAAATACCTCATTTTTTTTTTTAAGTTTTCATTATTTTAGCTTTTTATTATCAATATCTTTATAAATCATAACATTGAACAGTTGCAAATGAACATCTGAGAATGAAAACATCAGCAAATTACATGCTACAAAATTGTATACAGTACATATCACTAACGATAAACTGATTCTGACTCGTAACAACCCTATAGGACAGAGTAGGACTGCCCCATAGGGTTTTCAAGGAGCGCCTGGTGGATTCCAACTGCCGACCTTTTGGTTAGCAGCCGTAGCTCTTAACCACTATGCCACCAGGGTTTCCATTACTAATGATAAGATGTACAAAAAAAAAAAAAACAAAAAACAGAGGGTTGTAAGTGCGGTTCACTGTAACTCAAATATGTTGTTAAGTCAGGGACTACCCATACTTCTCATTAATCCAATCATACACTTGTACTTCCCCCCACTTTCCAAAATGAAGTCAGGTTAATAGAAGAGTCCTGATCAAAAGGGGGAAAATGAAGAACAGAATTTTAAATTCTCATCAAATCCAGATTTTCTGGAGCCATGGAAACTGGATGAACCCCTGAAACTACCACCCTGAGATGATATTTAAACCTTAAACCTTCGAACAAAAATATCCCCCAAAGTCTTCTTAAAACCAAACAATAATTTGACTTAACTTGTAAACAATGTCTGCCTTAAGCACTGTGTTCTTTTAGGAACTATCTATATGGGGTCAAACTGACAACAGTAACTCAAATGATTAGATATGAACCGGAGGGGGCAGTGAACTTATGTTAATGGGGAGAGAATAACTCAGAAAAAGAAGGGTGAGAATGGCTGCACAACTCGAAGAATAGACTCGATCTCACTGAATGGTACATGTAGAAACTGGGGAGTTCGTCTATGTTCTGCTGTGGGTGTTCTCAACAACAACATGAACAAAATAAATAAAATGAAGCTTAAATTTTTTTTTTTTTTTAATGAAGCCGGACTAACTTTCATGCATTTCCAACTAAGCAGTTTGTAGAAAAGAGACAGAGAGAGATCAGAGACACTGAATATGTGTCAAACGTGTTCAGTTCATCAGTTGCTTTGATGACACAACTCTTCCAGGCTATTCCTATTCTGCTCTGTATCACCTAAGTAATAATTGCTGCCCATGGCCTTGATAAATACCATCTTTATGAAAGTGATGAAAAGGAAGACTTTGTGTTTTTAAGCTAATGACACAGTAAATGTAATAGAACAAGACACAATAGTCTAATAAAAAGCAGTTATATAAGTGAAATTATAAGCCAGTCAGTCTCTCTCTCTCCTTCCCTCACACCCTCTCTCTTTTTGGACTTTCCTTTTTTAAATAGAATTTTTTTTTTAGTATGTAGTCTCTCTCTTTTTTTTTTTTAAATACCATATTCTGTATTATTTAAACTCTGCCCTGGTCTATAAAGTATTGATCAGTGCTCTTTGGGTTATCGTATACATTAGTCTATCAAAGCATTCAATGCACTGTTTTGTGATTTGCACAACTACCTCAGTTTAATTCAACAAATATTTGCTGAGGCTCCATTTGCTAAGCACTATACCAGAATCCTTAGTGGAGCAATGGTTAAGCACTCAGATGCTGACCGAAAGGTTGGCTGTTCGAACACACCCAGCATCTCCATGGGAGAAAAGCCTGGCAATCTGCTTCCATAAAGATTACGGCCAAGAAAACCCCACGGGGCAGTTCTACTCTGTCACATGGAGTCACTTGGAGCTGGAATTGACTCCATGGCACACAATAACCACAACATACCAGGTGTTAATATCCAATCAGGAACATGACATATAAATTTCCTGGTCTGATGGAAAACAGACGTATGGCAGAATCAGGGCTGAAAAATGCAATAAAGAGAGAAGAGAAGCATGCAAACTTAGCACCACAAGAATGGAATGAGCCAGTCTATACCAAGGAAACTATAGGATGAACAATTGTTTCTCCAAATATAAATTACGAGGAAAAAGAAAGAGGAAGAAGGGAGAGAGAAGGAACTTACAGATAAAACAGAGACATAGAAGATCAATCCACCAAACACAATGAGTGGGCTGTATTTAGATCCTTATTCAAACAAAGAAAAAAAATATTTTCTAGCATTTGATGATTAGTAATAGGAACACTGACTGGATGCTTAAGGACTAAGGAATTACCGTTGATTTATTTTAACTTTAATAATGGCACTGTATTATGTTTTTGTAAAACTACCTACTTCTTAGCAGTACATACTGAAAAATACATGAAGTCTTATGACATCCAGGAATTGGATCAAAATAAAATAGGAAGTGGGAAGTGGGTTGGGGAGGCAGTGCTGAGTTCGTGGAACACTGGAATTTATTACGCTATTCTGTCTACTTTTTCTACGTTCCATTTTGTTTTCTGGAGAAAAGAAGGAAAAAAGGGCTCCAAGAATGCAGGGATCTTAGCCTCTTTGTACACCCCCAGTGCCCTGTACAACTCCCAACACATAACGGGGACTCAGCATGCATTTGTTAAATGAAGGACCGGACATTTCTTATTCATTTCACTGGTCCAAGGCTAGTGGCAGCAGTGTGGACTGGCATACTGTCCAAGCTTCCCAGGGCTGCTTTACAGCCACAAGCAGATGCTTCAAAGAACAGAAATCTATCATGTCACAGTTCTGGAGGCAAGGAGCCCAAATCAGGGTCTCAGCTTTAAGGAAGGTCCTTCCTGGTCAGCAGCCCTGAGAGCTCCTGGGGGTTCCCCGGTGTCTGTCTTCCCCCTGTGTGTGGGTCGGTGTGTCTGTTCTAATCTTTTTATAACTCAGAAGTGATTAGGTTTATGGCCCACCCTAACCTGGCATGACCTAATTGACACAACAGAGAAAAGTCTGTTTCCAAACAGGACCACATCCATAGGTACAGGGGCCACGATTTTGATACATATTTTTGGGAGGACACAATTCAACCCATAATACATAACAGTTAAATGGAAGCTCCCCCAGCCGGCTTCTCCTGACATTCACACTGCACCTACCTGCTGTTGTCACCAGTACTTTTTGTTATCCTCCTCTCTGTCACTGCAGGTGGCTTCTCCTGCAATACTGACCATTTAGTAAATAACTTCCGTTTATATGGGAACGGGGAGCCCTGGTGGCACAGCGGTTAAAAACTTGGCTGCTAACCAAAAGGTTGGCAATTTGAACCCACTAGCCACTCTGAAGGAAAAAGATGTGGCAGTCTGCTTCTGTAAAGATTACAACTTTGGAAACTCTACGGGGCAATTCTACTCTGCTCTAAAGGGTCACTATGAGTTGGAATCAACTAGACGGCAATGGGTTTTGGTTTTTGGTTTTTTAATATGGGAATGCAACAAAGAGAGAAAACTCCTACTGTCATAGATTGAATTGTGTCCCCCAAAAATATGTGTCAACTTGGCTAGGCCATGATACCCAGTATTGTGTGACTGCCCACCATTTTGTGATCTGATGTGATTAAACTACGTGATATGAATCCTAACTTCTATGATGTTAATGAGGCAGGATTAGAGGCAGTTATGTTAATGCGGCAGGACTCAATCTACAAGATTAGGTTGTGTCTGAAGTCAATCTCTTTTGAGATATAAAAGAAAGAATGCAGCAGAGAGGAGGGGGACCTGCTACCACCAAGAATGAAGAACCAGGAGGGGAGCATGTCCTTTGGACCTAGAGTCCCTGCGCTGAGAAGTTCCTAGACCAGGGGAAGATTGAGGACAAGGACCTTCCCCCACAGCCAACAGAGAGAGAAAGCCTTCCCCTGGAGCTGGCATGCTGAATTCAGACTTCCAGCCTCCTAAACTGTGAGAGAATAAACTTCTGTTTGTTAAAGCTATCCACTTGTAGTATTTCTGTTAAAGCAGCACTAGATAACTAAGACAGAATTCCAAAAGCAACCTACTTCATTTTTTTTTTTTTTAAAACAATGGATATTTATTGAGCCTGTACTACATGCCAGAAGAATCCCTGGGTGATGTAAATGGTTAACGTGCTCAGCTGCTAACCAAAAGGCTGGAGGTTCTAGTCCACCCAGAGGCACCTTAGAAGAAGGCCTGGTGATCTATTTCAAAAAAATCAGTCCCTGAAAACCCTGTGGAGCACAGATCTACTCTGACACTGAAGAGGTCGCCCGAGGCACTGAGGATGCTTCCTGGAACTTGCATTTTAATGATGGACACGTGCCTGCCATGCCTCGTCCCCAATTTCACCACATGAGATGTAGCACTGCACACTGTGGTCTAGAATTTAACATACTAAGTATGAATCTTGGTTGTACCATTTACTAGACAGGGGACACTGGATGAATTATTTAAACTCTCTTCGCCTGGATGTCAAAAATAGAGAATATGTTAAAATCTACTTCCTAGAGTTGTTAGAAATAAACAGAGAGAGCTTAACACAATGCCCAGCACACAATCAATAAAGTGACTGATTATCATACCAATGTTTTCCCTAGAAAATATCTAGGAATTTTTTTTTATTATTATTAAAAGAGGATTAAAAGTTATTTTGCCAAGCCATTCATGCCACTGACACTCACCACCTCTGCAAATATGGACCTTGACATAATTTCTGGAATCCCTGCCCTGTCTGTTCCCTAAGCCCCTGTGGGATCTTGGAGGACAGAAATAAATGACTGCCAGAGCTGCAGATGTACAAATAGTGGGACTTGTTAGCACATCACATCCAGCCTACTTTTCGATTCCTTTGTGGCCAAGAGCTCGTCACGAGGTCCAAAGCAATACATTGTATTTGTGCCCTTGCTGCGTGTGGTAAATAAATGTATGCTGTGGCATGGCGGGAAGAAAACAAAAGGTACAGCACATCCACAGGCCTAGGTGAATTCCCAAACCATCGCTGTTAAAAACACAGGAACGGTGATGGAGGCCTCGAGACAGCAGCATGTAGAAGCTGAATAGACTGTAGAAAGGGTTTTGCACAAAGTTCATAATACTGAAAAATAAATCCATCCTCTGCCCTCTGTAGACCCAACCTCATTCCATCTTTAATGGATTCATGACCAAAGAAACAGACACAATAACACTCAATTTCCTTATGAAATTGGCTGCCTAAATACCTTTCTCAAGTAATGTAGCATGCAGAGCTTGGGGTTTTTATTCAGGAAGGCAATATTACTACAAGCCACAGCTTTCTT